GAATATTATTTTCAAAATTATTTTTTTAACACACTTATATATTTTTGTGATCTCTTTTTCAGTGTTGTGGCTCGAACACGTTTGCGGCGCAAAAATAATTAAAATCTGGCATGTAAGTCATCAATTCAGCCCCTCAGACACGCTAGCTACTCTTTACTCATCACTCATCGATCTCCCTCTCTCTCTCTTCTCCATATAATCCAGCCAGTTGTCGCCACAAGAACCATGCAACGTTAATACCGTCAAATCCTATATGCTACTCCTTTTTTTTCAAATTTGTCTTCAGAATGAATAGTGAAAGGACTGGCCGACATCTCCAGTAGACTACGTACTCCTATAAGCGAAGCGAGCCATAGCCACCATTGCTGCAAAAGCTGTGTTCTGAGGGAAGAAAGAAGGAGTTGATGGATCGTCTGCTTCAACATATAATTAAAGATGAAATTAATTAACAATACTGTAGATGCCGGAGTTTATTTGATGATATTGTAATTCAATCACATCCATGGCTGCGTGCACCTCAATGCTTATACTTGTAGATAACAATTTCCCACGTTTTGAAGCTATCATCCGAATCTTTTGATGTGGTACTTTTAATTTTATTCAAAAATATATTTTATATAAGTTTAAAAAGACATAAAGTTGGAAATTGGTGGTGTGTCTGACTAATCAATCATATAGCCATGAGAGCGCCATTTTTTTCCAATCATCTTCAAATTCACTGTATGAAAATTTTCTTTGATGCGGCCATCCCGAACAATCCCATTGCATTAATTGCATGCTACATAGCTTTGTTGACAAAGAGGTGTCTAGTTTCCTGTTGCCAGAAATCTTGTCATTTAGACTTCCCCACTTTAAATCCATTTTATATATAATAATAACCCTAATCTTATGATAAACATGGAATACTATCACAAATTAAACCTATTTGGAGTCATGATTGAGTTAATTGATAATTTCAAGTCTAGAGCATATTTGTGATTGAAAAGATTTTAAACTGTGTATTCGGTGTCACAGAAGTTTAAACTTTGAATACTATAAATATAAATTGGTTTGAATATGGATCCTATTTAGATTTGTATTTCATTAATTCATGTACTTCCAATAATATTTATATACAGAAGACAACTAATATGGCCCTTTCAAGGAAGAGCTCAAAACATGCCATTAAGTGAATATCAGGATATATCTGTATTTGGTATTGAACCCCAACCGTTCATTAATTTAGGCAATATGCCTGGAAATGGATTAATTATTGATTCTTTTTCTTCTTCAACTGATATTTATAAACACCACTGTATAATGCCTGAGTCAGATATAAAAATCTTATCGAATAACACAAATTTCAAAAGCGTATAAAGTGGAACGACATACTTTTTCTTTTTTTGACAAAAGGCGTCCATGGAATCGAAGCGCAAAAGCTAACTAGCTAATCTTGCCCGACACCAACGCCAAATATATCCAAAACTACTTTTCAGGGCAAATATTAAAACTATGTGCCATTTCATTAAACAAAAGTATGGCCTTTTCTTGCTGCAAATAAGGAAGCAGTTCCCAATTAATTAATTAAGTGCATATATAACTACCCATCTCGTATCTCTCCTGTAACTATACATGTTTTTGCTTGTTATAATTGGCTTGCATTTCCATTAATTATTGGGACGTCTCAAAAACATTTATGACCTTAGACAAGAGTTACTTTGGAGTCCTTCTAATAATATAAACATGTATTAATAAAATTATTTTAAATTTATTTTTCTTACCTTCTAAGATGTAAAATCACTAGGAGACGACAACTGACGGGCTAACGGGGTCAGGTTGGTGGGGGGTTTTGGAGAGCAGATGTTGGAGAAGCGATGGTTGGTGAAATGGGTGATTTCCAATGCTAGGATTAACCGGAAAAGCCTTGAGAAGTCGCGACCCAAAAGTTATCGGTGGCTAGCAATTGGCGGAGTAAACAGATGAGGTATGATAGGGGTTTTGGTGAGAGGGTTGAGGGGAGGAAGATGGTGGTGTCGAGGAAGGCCAATAACGTCGGGTACATGTCGAAAAGGCCGAAAATGGTTGTCGCGTGTGGTGGAGTTAGGTTGCAAGATTCGTAAAAAATTGGTCAAATCGAGGGCTATCAAGGCTAGGAAAACACTTGAAAAATGATAAAGTAATGATTCTGGTCGATTTTGGTGAGAAAATTGATCGGAATCAACTCCAAAAAGTTGGCGGTGAAAGAGGAATGAAGATTATTTATGTGAATGTCGAATTTTAGGACTGAATTGGGGATGAGTGATTTGAGAGATTTAGGGGTACAAATTGAAATATATGAAACCAGAGGTATAAACTTACTATTTTATCAAACTTTGGGTGAAAATATACGTAAAAAGTTTATAATAAATTTGAGTCTTTCCAGCTTTTTTTTAATTTTTTTGGCCCATTGGATCTATTTGGATAAGAAATTATATACTATTTTTATTTTTGTAATATATTTTAAAAAAAAATTGAGCTATTTTTTACCTTATTTGTAGGGGGGCCTAGGCAAGTGCCTAGCGTACCTACACCTTGAGACGGCCCTGATTAATTACTGGTGTCATATGAATGATGGTGTAAACACAAAAGAAATGTTGCTGTCAACTCGTCGTGGAACTGGAAATACATAAAAAATTTATCTTAGGATAATCATTGAAACAATTATTTTTATATACACTTGTATACATAAATATTAAATCAATAATTGTAGGCCAGAGCAATGATTTTTTATGACACCAACACGAATTAAGAACCAAGTTGCCAATGAACATTAGAGAATGCCACGTGGGCTCCAATATTGTATGGCAGGATTTCGTTGGTTACAGTACTTTGAGAGGATGTAATGTAGCCTCCGGATCATGTTTATTGTTTGGGCCCACTCCATAATTATTAATACAAATCCCACATTATAATTATATACAAGAACAGGATGATTGGTTTGGTGGATCATAAATCAAAATGAAAAGCAGTAATACATATGTTAACCGGGATTAATTTCATTAAGTGCATGCGTGGCACGCGGCGTGTAAAGACGAAGATGGACCTCAATCAGGTATGTCCCAAAAAGAGCCCATGACTTATGGAAGAGTATCAAGTAAATAGAAGGGAGAAAAATGGTAAGAATTGGCCCCTCAACAGAGGAATATTAAGCCGTCACTCATTGTCTAACATCAGCTCATCTCACACCTAACAAAAATTCCCTGCTTGGAAATAAACCCTAATCCTAAAACTCACAATCATTTGTGTATCTTACCTTTCCTTCCTTGGTTTATTTTAATTAGAATTTTCTCTACGTCATCTCCCCTATGACGTGTTCCTTTCTTTGTGGTATCACATGTCTTCCGCCGCATTCCTCTCCCGTTAATTATGGAATTTTTTTTTTTTTAAATTTTACTCTTAATTATTCAATCATCAGGCTTTGAGAAAACCAGATGACTTGTCTGTTGACTGACTCAAGCGGATAATTTCGACTTCCAACATCTCATGCAATGATTTCAATCTTCTCAAGTATGAAACAAGATAAGAAACGTTACTCATATATAAGAAAAATCTTGAATAAAGGGGACTATTTTGTTGAGATATATGTATATAAAAATTGAATTAATTTAAGTTAATAGGGGGGGTCTGGCCACATTCGTATAGTGAAATTTGAACTGAATTATTATTTGGATCTCAAGTGGTGACATGGACTGATGACCCCAGTCCAGTCATCGTCTGTTTGTAATTGAATAGTATGCTAATTATTTATGGTGAGAGATGATATATATTGCGACAAATATCATTTTGTCCATATTTCCATTATTATTAAAGCCTTTATAACATTACTCACTCAAAAACAAAAATCCACCAAATTAATATAGATAAGTTTCTCTCTATGAATGATGGCTCTGATGTACTTGATCTTCTTTGTGGACCCTGATCATAGACAATTTTTTTATGGCCCATTCTTTTGCATCCATCCAAGGTTTTCTTCTGTGATCAAAAATCGAACAGATAGGATATATAACAATACCCATTTTCCAGCTATTTATTTTTATGAGCTGTCCGCGTTTTAGCTCTCATCAATCAAATAGGATAACCCTCTGCCTAATTAATTAATTATATATTTCCACATAAGCAATCAAATAGCTGATATATCATCTTTGTTTTTATGCACACACATATTTCCATTTCACTTGTAATATTGGTTATATTTAATTTAAACCATATTATTAATACTGTCATCACTTATTTTTTAGTTCCTTCTGTATTCTTTTGGAATAATTAGCTTAATAATTCTCTATATTATTCAAGCCTTAGGGCTATTTCATTTTTTATTATTTTTTTTATTTTTTATTTTTTTATGTTTTTGGTGGGGCTGGGTTGCAGCGAGAGGCAAGGAATCCGTTCAAAGATTTTATGATATTGTCTAATCAAAGATTAAATCTCAAAAACTATGTACCTTATGAAGAAAGCCGTTTTCAAAAAATAAATTAAGATCAATTGAACTCACTTCTATTATGAGTAATTAAGAAAATTCAATGTATGGGCGGTATGAACTAATCAAATTAATGAAATAATCCACAAGAAACTTTATAAGTGGTAAGTAAACATATGAATATATATGATTAATTGGTTGAAATGTTAGAACCGTGTATCCCACGTGAAAGTGGCTAATATATAATTAAATTATTATTAGTTTATAACCTTGATCTGTTGCTTTGTAAGCTTCACGGGGATTCCTAATCTTATGTGTGTATACATGTAAATTAATTAATAATTAAAGAAATATCGAAATAACAAATAAATTAAAAAGGGGTGTTTTGGAGGGTTTCTCTGCTAATAAATTGGTTTGGATGTTTGTCCATATGCTATAGCAGCAGACAGATTTCTTGTAACTTTGGTTTTTCTTGAAACTTCCTACTATAACTAACAGGTTACACAAGCATGGCTTTTGCTATTATATTATAAGAAATTCTAACTCCCAAAGGCACTTGTCATCCTAACCTTACAGTATATATATATATTTATACTCTTCTTCCATATTATATTTCAAGTCCCAAATACCTTTAGCTTCTTTTCTTTTTACATCATCTACATTACTTCTCTCCTCCCATACCCAATTTTTCTTTATTCTTTTTTGTTCTCTTGTCCTGCAACTTTCAAACAATTAATGAATATGGGCCTGAGAGACATTGGAGCCACACTGCCTCCTGGGTTTAGGTTTTATCCTAGTGATGAGGAGTTGGTTTGCCATTATCTTTACAAAAAGATTGCAAATGAGGATGTTCTTAAAGGAACTTTGGTGGAAATTGACTTGCATACATGTGAGCCATGGCAGCTCCCTGGTAGGCTTTTTCTTATTAATTTACTTAATTGTTTTCTGTGTGTGATCATCAATACTCTTCGTCTTGTCTTTCTGGGTCATGGATACTGAAACAATTAATCATTGTTCACTGTGTATGATAAAAGTTTCGCACTCACTTTTGTTGGTGATTTAGTATCTAATTTTAAAACATACAGAGAACAACACCTGATGGAGTTTCTGTATCAGGCAGACAAACATGGTTGTGCATGATGGATCTAGATAGCTAACTTATACATACAAACATGCATGTTTCCCAATTCCCATTTGAGAGAGCATGAGAAAGAGAGAGAGGGATTAATTCTTTCAGTACGACATGTCATTCATTCACTCATCTGAATTCATGTTAGTGCCAAACTTGCTTCAGTGACACCCTTCTGCAAGAATGTTTTGTTTAGATTGATTATTAGTTTGTTTTCTGTGCTTGTCCGGCCTTTATCTTTTGGAGTGTTGGTAGAAAACAAGAAAACTTTGGACTCGATTATGTCATCCCCTTTTCCTTATATATTTATACAGAGAAAGGGAGAATTAGAGAGAGAGTGAGTGAGGAGGAGGGAAAGAGAATGCAGAACATGAATATTCATTACAGATACTAACCGAAATTGCAATAAGATTTTAAGTTTTCAATTCCTATCCAGTAGTCGGGCCCGGTATATGAAGATAGACAACCCTCAAAGTTATTATTCCTTTCCTCTTTTCAAATATGATGTGAATATCCGTAGGTTTTGATTCAGTGGTAAATGACTAGCTATAGACTGGGTTTCTGTATTGATATAGAATCGTAGACGTAGAGTCAAATAGCCAGGCAAAAAAGAATAAGGAAGAATGTCTTTAATAACCTTGACAATAACATAATATCATATATTCACATATATATATATATATATATCAACATAGGTGATAATTTTTATCCTTTTTATTTACTTTAACGGTAACTCCTGATTAAGGTGCCATACACAGCACATCAGCTTCATATATTCATTCATACGTAACTACCATTTCTTTCAACATATTATATCCCTCTCCTCGCTTATCTGTTTCACACAGAAACACAGACAAACCCACAAGCACGCTTGTTATTCTATAATTATTATAGCTGAGGTAGATGGCCCCAGTTAGAAACGATATGTGGGTTGCCATCACGAGTAAACAGATCAAAGCAGTGTAGGTGTAGTGTCTATGTAATCGCACGGCAATTTCCCGTGTGAATCCATTCATGACTATTGAATTTTATATATAAAGTTAAACTAAAATGACAGTCTTTCAAACCTGTTAAAGTATGGCTCGCTGTGTAAACGGTGTTAGGAATATCATCACCAAACATGGCTTGCTGTTCAAGTAAACATAGGTCACTATAGCACGATAGGAAAAGTTTCCACAAGCAAGCACATAGTAATTGCTTTATTAAAGTTTTGTTTAAGGCCGAATTATTAGGGACTTTCAATCGGAAAGTACCTTTTCTTTCTTTCTTTTCCTTTCTTTTTTGGTGGGTTTCAAACATGACTGGATATCTAGGTGATAATGGTGAAAAGAGGTGGCGTTTGAACACGCCTAATAGTAAATTAAAAATGAATCTTGTAAACACAAGTCTTTCTATGAACTGAAGAACTTTTTGTCTTGTGGTTCAAGTAAGTAATTGGGCCATTTCTTCTTTGTAAAAGCACTTATAATTACCTGGAGTATCTCTTTCCCAGTCAGTCAGTTCTATGTTCATCATTTTCACCAGTGACTGCCTATACATAATTGTGCAACAAACTAATCAATATCAGAAGAGGTAGAAGCTTTTTCTCACCCTATTAAGCCATGGCGTCATTCCTCACTACCTCCCAATTAGTTCACTAAGTGTATGCATCTAAACCTGCCCCCTTAGAAATTCAACTTTCCTTTAATTCATAAACTGACATTATAATCATAAGAGACAAAAGAATATCACATCTTAGTTTGATCTTTCCAGTAGAGTGAAAGCAAAGTTACATGCGAAATTTAGATTGATGTAACTATATCAAATGTTTATAATTATTTGAATATATTGATACTTTATTTAATTTTATATCTAACTTGTAATATTCTTTTTCATATGGCTGTGAACTCAACTGAAGAGGTGGCAAAGCTGAATGCAACTGAGTGGTACTTCTTCAGTTTCCGGGACCGAAAGTATGCCACTGGGTTTCGAACAAATCGTGCAACGACATCTGGATACTGGAAAGCTACCGGAAAAGATCGAACAGTGCTTGATCCAGCAACACGTGAGCTGGTAGGAATGAGGAAGACGTTGGTATTTTACAGAAACCGAGCACCCAATGGAATCAAAACAGGATGGATCATGCATGAATTTCGATTGGAGACCCCACATATGCCCCCTAAGGTCTGTTCAATTCGTACTATTTCTACTTTTTTAACCATTATCATCATTATTCTAAAGAAAGCAAAGAGACATAGAGAAAGTGACGGTGTTCCTAGAAATAGCTTACCATCATCTCAAGTGGACATCTACTTGCCATGTGTTATCACCTTATTGAGTTTACTAAATTAATAGATGTTGCGAGAAAGAATCTGAATTAATCATCCAAAAGGAAATTAATTGGAACGAAAGTGAGTGACTGAACCTGGCTGCTGTCCACTCAATTTCCTCCACCTAAGTGTGATGATAAACTCCTTTTTGTGCATGTTTTTGTTTTTTAACTTGTGTTTTCTTGTGTGCTGATTAAGTTCGTACGTTAAATTCTTTGAGCACAGGAGGATTGGGTGTTGTGTAGAGTTTTTCACAAAAGCAAAGGCGAGAACAGCAACAAACTCAGCCCGGAATTTATTTTCGATACCACTGCAAATGCTTCCTCTTTAAATTCAGCTGTATCTCCTGCAACTGACAGAAGCATCCCTTTTGGATATCAGCCAACTCCTCTCTATCAAAACCATTGTCCAACTAATTCTATGCTAAATCTTCTTCACTTTTCACAAGAGAAGAACACCAGCCACATCTCTGAAATTAGCACCAAAGGTGAACATAATGATGACGAGTATGGGTTCATATGGGACATGGAGCTGCAAGGGAACAGCTTGGAAGATCATGGGGTGCCTTCAAACCTGGAGGATATGAGATTTGAGATGGATAATAATATGGTTTTCCTATGAAATGAAGTTATCGAACGTTACACTTGAAAATATTACATACTCATTTATTTATTGTGGTCTATTTAATTAAGGTGTTTAGCTTTTTGAAATTAAGACAGAAGTCATGTTTGATTATTTGGGATGTTGATTAGAAGATTGTACCTGGTTGTGTATATATTTAGGGTTTGTATTATTTTATTTATGAATACAAAAACAGTCGAATTATGTATAAATTATGAATCATATTCTGTTCTGTAATGCTGTCACCCTTTTCTTTTTCTCTTTTCACTTTTATCGGACCAATAATTTTTATCTTTAGAATATTCATTACGGAAATAGTAGAGTTGCATGTATTAAACTTGTTTGTAGAGATTATTTTACCATCAATATATATCTCTCTTGATAATACCTAGCTGATGCGTGTTTATAATTTCATCATATGTCATTATCCTTGTATTGTTTTGCTTGCCTTGGTAACAGGGCTTCTCCAATACGTTAAATATAGAGTTAAAAGACTTTTTTCCGACCAAATAATGGTTTAGTGACACTTTTTTACCTACAAACTTTTAAAATATCATTTTACCATCCAAATTTATATTCTGATAGTGAACAGAGAGCAAACTCAGTTTATGTTGTTGGGGCTTTTGAAGAGGGAATATCGATGAATCTTTTGATGGTGGAAGGTTGGATTTTGATGGTTGAGATTGATCAGAATTTAACTTGAGAAGGGAGATTATGCAATCCTTAATCGCTCGATTATCGGTGATTAACAGGGTTGATGGTAGTAAGGTTTAACGGGTTTTGGTTAATGATGATCAAAGAAGAGAATAGTGGTGATGTGGAGTTACAATAATGCCAAAATCGGAAATAGAATATAAATTTGGATAATAAAGTAGTATTTTTAAAATATACGGGTGAAAAAGTATCAATAAACTATTATTTGAGTAGAAAAAGTCGTTTACTCTTAAACACAAATTCAGCTACAATATCCAGAATCTAGCTAGCGAAGAAACTTACTATAATTACAAATGGACAACCCTACTGATCATTGAAGCGGAGATATAGAAGGTAAGGGACGACTAGTTCTAGAGCCTGGATTGTACAACAATGAAGCACATGTATATTCATTTCTTTCACATAAATCTAATATAATATTCATTTTGTAAACAAAGTTTATATTACTAATGCCAGATCTGATAATGAAATATAGAAAATTCTTATGCATAGGTGTCAGTCCTGTTAGTCAGATGACAATTGATTATGAGAGGAAAAATGCCATCACCTGTCAAATAAGAAATAAAAAAAAAATTATTTATTTGTCACATACTAAAAATATTAGTAGAAATTCTTTACAATGTGTATTTTCTTATTTCCCGATGATATCCTGTAGTCAAATAATTAATTAATTGTTGAATTTGTAAAATCTTCATGGAAGTTTATTACTACGTATATAATTGATTCATTTTAGGTATGCTACATAAAAAATTACAAAATTTTAAAATAACTATGGTACGAACGTTGTCTTTGCCTTGCGACCTATCTTGATATTTTAGACAATAATGTTACGGACATTGAAGGTTTACACCAAATTTTTGTACCGGCCAACATGTCATCTGAGTCAGACGTAGCCACGTAACATACTAACAAATATTATGTGAATGAACGGTCTATTAGTCGCTGATGGGGTTCACGCAGCGGAAAACAAAAATAAAATCCCCAACAACAACATTGAACCCAAGAACCTTGTACCCGATTTATGTTATTTACATATGAAATGATATTGAATATAAAATTTTCAGATTTCATACCAGCGTTTGGAGACTCCTTCAATCGATACGAATCGCTCCCACTCTAAGATAAGAGTAAACTCTCGGTATCCACACATAGATAGGATAGCAATCGACTTGCGGTCTCAAGTGCTAGCAAGACACACAAGCAAAAAAGGATGCAAAGTTTTTCTTCAAGAAAAATTCTCTTCTCCACCAAGTGAAAAACGTGAGAGAGATTGAGGTGAGTGGTTTGGATTTAATTAATGTGTTCTCTCATTTTATTTTAATTTTAAGTTGCCTTTTATATGCAACAAAAATTAAAACCCTAATCTAGTTAGGAATAAATTTATTCCAAGACTAGAATAGTAAATCCTCATTACCAAACAAAGTAATAATCCACGTGACATCTTATTCAAATTCAAATATGATTTTCATATTCATATATTATCTTTATTAATATCATCAAATATTAATATTGAATATATATTTAAATTCAAATATGAATTTCATATTTCATATATATTATCTTCACTAATATTAATATCATCAAATATTAATATTAAAAAAAATATATAATATTTAAATAGATGAATAAATTTAAATGCATAATCTCACTAATTTTAATTTCAATACGAAATTAAATATAGGTAACGACCTCAGCAAATTTAATTGTACTGTGAAATTACCAAAATGCCTTTTCATCTCAAAAGACAAAAATATCATTTTCATCATAAATGACGAAAATACATTTTCTCACCAAGTCATCCTTAATATGTCTTCTATGTATGTGACCCGAAGGCTCCTCATCATATCGGCAATGAGTAGTCTCGCGATTGACACCAATCAATCGTCTCACTGAACAGAAACCAAGATTGACCTCTAGCAAGGCATCATGGCCACCCGATAGATTTAGATTTAGCGAAACAACTTGCCTATCAACGATATGGTTACTATGCAATCTGATCCTTTCATCATCTGTTATCTCATCAAGGCTAAGATATAGAAATTGTGTAAACCTCAGTTATCTTTGATATCTTTGTATTCAGTTATTGGATCAATGATCAGAATAATAAATTGGATCGAGCAACAACTCAATCCCATTGTGGCCACAACTTTAGTGTCATTGTCGTTCACTGAATTGCGCCGTGAGATAACTTCTCCCATACCTAGGAGTGATGAATCCTTTGTCGATTCACTATAGTCTTGATACACTCCTCATTGCAGCCAATTACTATTGTATTGATAGCTTTGAATAGAACTACGTTGGGCTAGTGTCAAACTACATCAATCAGTGCACAAGTGTTGTCGATTTTTGCAAGTATACGAAATCGTGCAAGTAATAAAGTGTATAAATACGGATATCGAACCCAAGGGAATTACTATTATCAATTACCAGTTAAACTATCCTATTAATATTTGATCAATCCAAATTTTATCAAGGAAAAACCAAATTAAATAAACAATTGAATTTAAAAAGAAAACTGAAAAGAGAGTAATGAAAATAAACCTTTGGATAAAAACAAGAAGACTAGACTTAGGGTATAGACTTCACACCAACTCTTATTCATATGCATCGATCTCTTATGCTAATTTTGTTAAACTCTTCCTACAGGTCAAACTCCCTAAATTTCTAATAACTTTCTCTCGAACAATTATCAAATTAACCCCTAATTACTGACCCGAATTATCTCAAATTAGATTTAAGCAATTGAAGATCATTACGCTCTATGGAATTTACCAAAACCTCAAAAGTCACAGTAACCTATCTTTAGCGTTCGCTCAACCTATGGTTTTACTACCGTAGACCAACTAAGTATCATCTCTCGATCTCAACCTAGTCCATTAGTTCATTCAATTCTTGGGCCCTTAAGAATCAAAAGCATTAGGAAAAATAGTAAAACTTAGGAAGAATTCTCAATAAAAGTTAACAATCAAAGATCAATACATAATCAAGAGATTGGGCTACATCTTAGCCCTAGAGAATAAATTTAGTTCATAACAAACATGAAAGAAACAATCATCTTTATTAAAACATTCATCATGAGTTTAGAAGAAAAGAACAAGGAAAACTTCTCTATATTGTGAATCAAAGCTCCAGAACTTCTGTTACTTCTCTTCTCTGCAGATTTTTTTTCCCTTTCTTCTCACCAAAGAATCCCCAAACTAATGCTAAAAGACTTCTATTTATATCCCACAAAGGTTAGGGTTTTATTTTTTCTTAATTCTATTTGATTTAGAACCCTTAACCCTATTCTCCTACCAAAAAATGGATAACAAGTTAGTAACTTCCGTGACTATGCTGCGGCACAGTAGCTACTAGAAAAAGTGTGTCGCAGCATAGTAGCTGCTGTCCTTCTTCCCCAATCATTCCACTATTTTTCAGAGATTGTGATTTTTGAACTCGATAAAAATGAAATTTGGAAAAGTGGTAATATGTGAAATGTAGCCCTTTGAATCATCTTTCCAATGGTCCAAGAATCGTCTTAATCCGAGTTCTACAGGTCAAGATATTCTCAAAATACCGAGACATGCTCAAGCTAGAACGTAATCTAGAAGATTCTTTATTTCAACTTCCATAACTTCTTCAATTCAACTCAGATTCTTGATCTATTTGTTTCCACTCGTCACTCATTCCGTTTCCAACATGATTCTTCATCCGAGCATAACATTTAAGCACTAGTAACCTAAAAAACACTCAAAAACACCTGTGATCCCGTAAAAGGCAATTATGAAAATATTAAGCAACTTTACCAAATTAAGCCTAATTTCCCACAATCAATCCCCAAAAACCACTAACTAAATGTGTATTTTCAAGCTCTTATTAACAAGGCGCTCCGGTGATCTCAAGTCTAAGGATCACATGCACCACCATTCGTTAGGGAATTTATTCCATAGACACTGGGGTTACCATCCATATGGAATCCTCTGGTGGGCCGTCCAGTGAACTTGCCTACAGCAAGCACCCATGTGTTGCACCAAGTTGTCGGCAAACAACCTTGACAAGTGAGATCAGCCACTGTCTTTCGATATGGTCATTCAACACTATGATAGTCTTACCATATTATCTGTGTCCTTGGTCAGAATAATACCGAGGCTACAAGCATTTCTAGAATGGCCATCATATGTGATCATAGGGTTCTCACTATCAAGATTTGAAATACTTGATACCCTTGTCACAATTCTACCATCCTAAGGACATATATCAATACACACAATTATGATTTACATGATATAGAAGAAAATTGCTTTTTATTGATTAATAAACATTATTTCAGAGAGTCAATTCTACAATAATTGATTGGCTCTAGGGCACCTACTCTAACAATCTTCCATTCACACTATAGCCAATCATTCATGTACTCAACACCAAATGACCCTAAGTGCCCATCAAGCTTTTGCTGCAACAGAAACTTTAACTGCGGGTTAGTAAGTATTATGCAAATCCGCACATCCCCTTTTCTGATTGATTTCTTAGATCAGATTGAATC